ATGGGCGAATGGTATACTTATAATAAAAATGAAAGTTTTATTTCCTAAGGTACGAACCTCGACATAGAGTTTCTACCTTTAGATATTTCACAGGAAATCAATAAATGGAGCATATACACAGTGCTTCCAAGATTTCGGTAGAATCTCCCCTATTTCATCTCAAGATTACACTGACACTTGCATAACAGCAGCCGTGGGGACTTTTACTCTTGTCCGATATCTAAACGTAACGTCACTATACATGAAACGCGAATATACGCTATATATTGCAAATTAATAGGCAGTAGGTATATATACATTAAAGAATCTGATATTATTCTCAGAAAATGAATTTGATAAAATTCCTTCAAATATTTTAAAGAACCAATTATGCATATGATGCACAATGTCTCTTAGAACGTGTTTGATCATGGCTCTTCACAATTTTTTATTCTTTGTAGCTCTAAGGAAGCTCTATCTAAATTCTTTCCATCCCAATCCCTATTCTGTCACACATTTATACACGTTTGTCAGAAACGTTACTTACTGTTTCATTCTACCACACTTACCTTCAGTATGTTTTATGAGTGTCAGATTTTTTCCCTTTTCTTTCATGTGACCCGCAAATCACAACTTTCTCTGACTCTAAGTGCCCTTTGTATTCAGTTTCCTCAAATACATCCTTGTTGCTCACATAACATGATATTTTGAGTATCGTAATTTTGAACATTATATGTCTTAAATCCAGTCTCTTTTTTCCTCTCTGATGACACTGTCCAAGATTAAATAGGAGGCATGATAGAGTAATGGATAGCGGCTCGGATTGAGGAATCGCAGAGCCGAGTTCGAATTCCAGTCGAATTCATTGCATTCACTTAAGTACTAATACTTTGGGAAAGTTATGAATCCCCTTCTTCCCCACCCACCAGCTATGAGTAAATAGCAGGATGGCAACTGGTCTACCGCAGAAAGAAATGGCATCATACTACTGGAAAAAATCTGCCACGTCAGTCATGTATCGACATATAAAATGATCGCCTAAGCGTGTATCACGCATGGCACATAACTAACTAACGTGCAATTACTCTTGGGAGAGGTATGAATCTTCTTCTTCTCTTCCAACCCAGTAAATTGCAGGACCAACCGCGTTCTATATCCTTGGATGGCAACTGGTCTACCTCGGAAAGAAATGGCAACCTGATGCTAGAAAAAATCTGCTTCTTCAGTCATATATTGAAAGCCTAAGCGAGTATCACACATGGAACATAACTGATTGGCTGATTAAATAGGATGTTTGATATTATATAGCAGCCATCTCTCTGTCCATTTTCTCTAACGAAATTGTCCTGTTTAACAAAATGGCTGTATGTTTTGCTTCTGAAAAATGTCTTCCATCTTTCTAATGCACCTTCGAATTTCGAAGTCACATTTTTCGTTGTCTGCTAAAAGTAATCCCAGCTAGTTTTATTTCTGTACTTTGACGTCTCCAATTCTTGGCTGGCCTCTGGCCCTGTAATTCTGGTTAACAATCATACGCTTTGTATTTAGACAAATTAATGTCAGCTCTTTCTTCTCGCTTTCTTCTACTTCCTTATCTATGAGTTTATAGATTTTTCTCTGCGTCTTCCAATGAGCAACCAATAAGAAGTAACGGATTTTAAAAGCGGACATTCATCCATTGACAACATAATGAAAGTCAAAAACAAAAGAAATATTCCCTGCTGTTTTTCTTTTCCGGGAAATAAGGCTAAAAAAGAATTAAACTAAAATATTTTGCATCATGTAATAAAAAAACACTTCACAAATAGAATAAATCTTCAAATATTGCAAACTATTTCTGCTGGAAATAAAATGTAAGCAATATAATTGTCGCCTCAGTTGGAAATATTTTATTACATGTCAATTGGATCTACCCCATATGACGCCTGTGTTGAAATTAGATGGTTATATATATATATATATATATATATATATATATTCCGATGTTCGAATCTCAACCTGGTCGATTTTTCAAAGATACGTTTTTTTTTTTTTATATCGAATAGACACAAGTTTTCTAATTTAATTTGGGCAGATGAAGCTGTTCCGAATAGATCGATCGTCGTGTAGCACGACGTTTACAGAGCATGGTAACAGAGATTTCGGGAGGACCTCATTGCTCAACAGCTGATTACGCCAGATTCAATCAGTGTAGTTGTTGTAGAAACCACAGTTTGGCTCTATGGCAATTGAAGAGACAAACATATGCCAGAGAAGGCGTCTGTAATAGTTTAGTTAGTCTCACGAGCAAACATGCAAACTCTGAAATGAGAAACCAGCTATGAGACCTTCCCTCTAGATGGCAATATATATATATATATATATATATATATATATATCTGTCTTTCCTCTTTAAGACTTGGGTTTCCGGTTTCTTCTCATTCTCTTTCACTCCCAGTGGCCTCCTGTGTCTTAGTGACATTATCGCCTTATTTGAGATAAATTGATCGAAAACTATACAAAGCTGAAGTATCTGAAAGGTTAATGTTTACACAGAGGGCCTAATCTAAACGTACTTGAGTCTACCATAAACTGTAAGATCACATTAATGGGGAGTTATTTGATGCCATTAGATAATCCTATGCGTAACATTTTTGGAGTTGAAGTTTACCACCCCTCAAAGAACTCACTGTGTCAATTCAAGTTGCATAAATAAGGGATATTATGTTACATATTATCAGAAACAATAAGTGAAATATTGTACATTTTCTCCGTCAAATATTAGGGTTTGTCTGTAAAGAAATACTTTTTAAATCATCCGGTAAATGGAAACATGAGATTGCATCACACATTTAACTGCTGAACACTTGAATCTTGAGTAGAAATTGGCAGGAATTTCTTGTGGTTATAAGTAAAAACAAACAAATCAACAAGGAATGCAACTTGCTGAAATTCCGCAGGGAATACAAAAATACAACAATGAAATAAGAAGAAATCTAAACATAATACTATAATACTAAAGAAAACATTAAATCATGATATATGTTTAAACATCAAAGCGACCTTCTTTTTTTTTTTGGTTGGAGCAAGGACCAAGCAGATGGTCGCAAGAGATACCGTTTTTTAATCTTTTTTTAAATGTGTTGACCCTTACTCCGTTGGGATACTATGGTCCTCCAAAACATTCTATCCTTTGCATCTCCGGGCAATATTTGATTATTAACCCTCCCCTTTTCTTTACTGTGTTCTTTCATCCATTTACTAGAAAGTTTGCTCGTTGTTTCCCACTGTCCAACTTTCTTCAATATATTCGGTGATTGATAAGTTTTCTAAAACCTATTCTTTATTTAAACATCAGTGATATCTAGTTCAAATTGTCTTTAAACTAGACTTGCTAATTCCTGGTATGTCCTAAATTGAAACATTGTTTGGTTCACTTTGCCTAAAAATGTATGCCTTAAAATAGAGGATGAAATGTTTCAATATTAAGCTCTATGAATTTCAGAAAAGATTACGCGTCGGAACTTCGACAAAAACTATTCAGAAGGTATACTTTCCTGCGTACCATCGCGTCGGGCGGTCAAAACTAGTTTGTCAGATTTCCTCAGGGTCATTTTAATCTGTCCAGTTTCCAATATTATTAACCTTCCCCTTTTTTCCAGCGTTCAGTCATCCATTTAGTGGAAAGTTTTCTCCTTGTTTCTCACTGTCCAGCTTTCTTCAATATATTCTGTGACTGATAACTTTTCCAAACTCTATTCTTTATTTAAACATAAGTGACATCTAGTTCCCACTGTCTTTAAAAAGTTCATTGTTGCTCATATATTCTCTTCATAATATTCTCAGCTATCTATTTTTAGAACGACATTGCTTAAGTTTCGAGTTGCTATCAGATCATTGCAAAAGTTTCATTGTTAATATTAAATGCGCTCAACTTGGGACTGGTGTTTGTTTTGGCGCCGATTTCTAGCGTGTCCTAAATTGAAACACTGTTCCGTTCACTTGCGGGTCAGATTATTGACTGTTGACGTATTGTTTACAAATGAATATCTTAAAGATGGAGGATGAAACATTTTTTGCCATATTATGCTCTATGAATTTCGGAAAGTAAAGCGTCGAAGCTGTGACAAAAAAAAAATCAGATTTATTTGGATCGGGCTCCAAATTTTCAGAGGGTCAAAAACTGGTTTTGGCAGATTTCGTCAGGGTGATTTTAATCTAAACAATCAACCATGATCTAGGCGGTCATCCGACGTCAGCGAAGACAAAACTTGTTGCTATTGTGGACGATAAACCGAAGATTTTGATGGAAGAGAATGCTAAGTGTTTGAAGAGTTTTGGGTTCGTTTCCAAACTCGACACGTGGGAAACACATTCTCTGAAAGAAGAAAACAAGCTTGATCATATTACTGCAGGGATTACGTCACGAAAAGTAGTTGTTCCAAAATATTTCCAATCGTTCGTCATTCTTAAGACATTATTTTAATATTTAAGCTGACTTTATAGTTACTTTTTTTCAGTATTGTAGATCCCCAACGTGTATATATATATATATATATATATATATAGATAGATAGATATATATTATAATAATTTTTTTAAAATATGGTTAATAATTATAAATAAAATAATAAAATATTATAATAAAATAAATTTATAATATAATAAAATAATTAAAATAAAATTATAAATAGAATAATTATAATTTAGGCTCTAGTTTTGAATTGAGCATTTTTTTAAAAAAAAATAAAAAACAACATACTAAAGAACTTCGGGTTATTTACCTAACTTGTTCTTTCCTATTTTGTTATATATTTAGTGTGTGTACGGCGGAGGGGAATGCGGACGTGTCTTTCAAAGGGGAGAAATCAAATGTAAACATACACAATGTATACATTTTTTTGTATTTTCATGTGTGAATCTGTGGGTGTTGCATATTCCATTTAATGAATTGTGTAGACATAAAAAATCCCGTTTCAGCATAATTCACTAATTAAATGTCGACCGTATTTTTATTTCTACTTTTCTATTTATCCTCACAGAACCGGACCTGCCTCCCAAAATAGAACAAGTTATGAGTTCTGCGGAGCACAATCTGTCATACCCCAAAACTAAGCTTACAGTCACGTGGAAGGTCAGTGATTTCACTCTGTTTTCTTTTAAATCGCTTAGAGGTTATCAATAAAAAATCTTAGAAATTATTATTTTTCTTTACGCACGCTAAATGTCTTGATTCATCAGATATGTGCTCTGTCCGTAAAAAAAAGCGAAACATTTTCTTTCGAAATTTCTTTTCTTTCTTGTCGAAATTTCTTTTCTTTCTTGTCAATATACTTTTCATTATATTTTTATGGAGATTATTTAGCTATAAATTGTTCTAGCTTCCATTAAATTTAAATGTCAATTCGCATGATTTTTCGTTATAAGTATAAACATGAGAACTTAGACACACATACATTTTTTATTTACTATCTATCTCTCTATCTATCTATCCCAGTTTTCTAATAACTAACACTTTTGTTCATATCTATCTATCCCAGTTTTCTAATAACTAACACTTTTGTTCATATCTATCTATCCCAGTTTTCTAATAACTAACACTTTTGTTCATATCTATCTATCTATCTATCTATCTATCTATCTATCTATCTATCTATCTATCCCAGTTTTCTAATAACTAACACTTTTGTTCATATCTATCTATCTATGTATCTATCCCAGTTTTCTAATAACTAACACTTTTGTTCATATCTATCTATCTATCCCAGTTTTCAAATAACTAACACTTTTGTTCATATCTATCTATCTATCTATCCCAGTTTTCTAATAACTAACACTTTTGTTCATATCTATCTATCTATCTATCTATCTATCTATCTATGTCTTCTAATAACTAACACTTTTGTTCCTATCTATCTATCTATCTATCTATCTATGTCTTCTAATAACTAACACTTTTGTTCATATCTATCTATCTATCTATCTATCCCAGTTTTCTAATAACTAACACTTTTGTTCATATCTATCTATCTATCTATCCCAGTTTTCTAATAACTAACACTTTTGTTCATATCTATCTATCTATGTCTTCTAATAACTAACACTTTTGTTCATATCTATCTATCTATCTATCTATGTCTTCTAATAACTAACACTTTTGTTCATATCTATCTATCTATCTATCTATCCCAGTTTTCTAATAACTAACACTTTTGTTCATATCTATCTATCTATCTATCTATCCCAGTTTTCTAATAACTAACACTTTTGTTCATATCTATCTATCTATCCCAGTTTTCTCATAACTAACACTTTTGTTCATATCTATCTATCTATCTATCTATCTATCTATCTATCTATCTATCTATCTATCTATCTATCTATCTATCTATCTATCTAGTTTTTCTAATAACTAACACTTTTGTTCATATCTATCTATCTATCTATCTATGTCTTCTAATAACTAACACTTTTGTTCATATCTATCTATCTATCTATCTATCTATGTCTTCTAATAACTAACACTTTTGTTCATATCTATCTATCTATCTATCTATGTCTTCTAATAACTAACACTTTTGTTCATATCTATCTATCTATCTATCTATCTATCTATCTATCTATCTATCTATCTATCTATCCCAGTTTTCTAATAACTAACACTTTTGTTCATATCTATCTATCTATCTATCCCAGTTTTCTAATAACTAACACTTTTGTTCATATCTATCTATCTATCTATGTCTTCTAATAACTAACACTTTTGTTCATATCTATCTATCTATCTATCTATCTATCTATCTATCTATCTATCTATCTATCTATCTATCTATCCCAGTTTTCTAATAACTAACACTTTGTTCATATCTATCTATCTATCTATCTATCTATCTATCTATCTATCTATCTATCTATCTATGTCTTCTAATAACTAACACTTCTGTTCATATCTATCTATCTATCTATCTATCCCAGTTTTCTAATAACTAACACTTTTGTTCATATCTATCTATCTATCTATCTATCCCAGTTTTCTAATAACTAACACTTTTGTTCATATCTATCTATCTATCTATCTATCCCAGTTTTCTAATAACTAACACTTTTGTTCATATCTATCTATCTATCTATCTATCTATCTATCTATCTATCTATCTATCTATGTCTTCTAATAACTAACACTTCTGTTCATATCTATCTATCTACCTATCTATCTCGTTTACTAACTATCCCAGTCTTCTAATACCTATGACTTTTGTTCATATCAATCTATCAATATATATCTAATTATCTTCATTTTTCAATGTTCTTTTTTTATTTTTTTATCTCTCGTTTTTTTTTCATATCTATCTATATATCCATCTGTCTATTGTTTTTTCTTTCATTTCCTTTGTTTTTTCTTTCATTCTTTTTTCTTTCTTTCTATCGATCGGCCAAACTCTTTATACATTTCCGATAGAAAAATATACTGTATTTATTGGGTTTACTGTAAGCCTTAACTTTCCTGTTTCTAACTCAAAACCAGACATTTTTATTTAATGTCTGTTACAGACTTTTCCTTCAGCTGACACGGCCGTTCGATATTTATACGTTTCCGCACTTAGCTGGAAAGCACCACAGGGCCATTTTTAGTGGAGAACATAACACATCATTGCACAATTCTTAGGATATAGCGAAGAGGACAACAATTATCGACTTCTATAGAACTTGCATTTTTTGCACGACACAGGAGTCAGCAACTAACCCTAGCTTTACTCTTTTAGTTTAATGTTGAGTTTCTAGGCGAACAGATTGCCTGGAACGAGACGGTATGACTTTGCAGTCTTGTCTATGAATGCCCCAATGTCGAAACCTTGGTCGATATCTTGAATCGGTTATCGTAGCTGGGTAATTCAATTAATGGAATGAAGATGCTCTCAGCAGCTTACTCGGGCAATATATTATTCTAAGGCAAAACTATGATATACCTGTAACCAATTGTTTGACAAAAAATAAATAAGTAAAAAAAAACAAATAGTACCTTTTTTAAAAAACAAAGAGTACCTTTACGAAATGTTAACCCAACAGAATCCCTTGATTCACTCACCGTAGAAGGTTACTGAATTATTTAGGGACTTAGAAAGAAAGGGAAGAGTAAATGGCCGGTTCCCTGTACACGGTGGAGTAAGGAGGCACGGTGGAGTAATGGATATCGGCTTGTATTGAGGAATCGGAGAGCCGAGTTTGAATTCCAGTCGAACATTCACTTACGTGCTAATACCATTGGGAAAGGTGTGAATCCTCTTCTTCTCCCTCCAGCTATTGGTAAATAGCAGGACAGAATGGGTTCTATAGCCTTGGATGGCCACTCAACTAGGAAAAAGAAAACTCTGAATTCAAAACCTTGGGAACTTGTGGCACGTAGTGCACCAGGTCTCTGTAATCGGCCCTTCAAAAAATGTGGATGGTCCTGCACGAAACCTTCACCACTATAATCAAATCTCATGTTCTGTTGTCGGGCTGTCGGTTTCCTGGGAACTGATCTGAATCCTATACATGCGGGTTTAGGGACCACTTAAGAATTCCAAATTCTCATGAAGCTCCAATATTAGAGCCGGCTCAACCCACCCCGGGTGAATGCCGTTACAAGACAAGAAGAAGGTTCCCTGTACCGGTCCAGTAAGAATCTAAGCCTCGCCAGGCCAGGCCTAAAATGGAGTAATGCTGTCGTATTTGGACAGAAGCTGTTCAGTCCTCGCTTTCAAGAATCAACAGCGTCCAAAAGTGTATCCGGGTCGTTGTGGGTGACAAATGATTTCCACCCTGCAAACCCTCTCACACGGACGAGGTTTAGTAAACCTCTCACTGTTATATCGCTACCTCCATGGAAAATGCTCAAACGCCCTACATTCTTTAGTACCGCCTGTTCAAATGTTTATTGCTCGGTCTCGTTTGTTGAGAATTAAGTTCCAATCAAGCTGCTTTTTACGCGTATCATTGCTGCTTTGTGGAACCAACTCCCAAAAATATATATATATATATATATATATATATATATATATATATATATATATATATATATATATCACTATTATCTTACCTTTTTTTTAAATCTAGGCTAACTGTTTTTTCTTCCCCATTTACCAGCATTAAACTCTGCACTTAATCTGTAATCCTCTACCATGAGTGGTTCTTCGGCCTGGTACAGGGTGAACTTCATTGTTAAAAATGTTCAAATTATGATGATACATATGATACGTAACGGTTGCCTTTAGACACAAATTTGTTAAAATTCCAGTGTTAGGGGAAGCATCCCTTTGAGAAGAGGCTGTACGAGTGAAACAACCTACTTATCAATAGAATACAAAAGGAATGAGAATTGTAGGCTCAAAATATGACGGATCTTAGCTGAAAAAATCTGAAATGGTGGAACTAAGGAATGTAGCTCGTCAGAACCTTTCCACAGAAAATAGCGTGAAGTTTCCAAAGTTTTATTTGTGGGAGAAGGTTTGTAGGCTGAGAAAATTTATTCATTGTCTATAATGTCATATTTTGAAAATCGAATGGATGGCATGTATATTGTGTATAGAAGAATAAGTAATTTAATATATCCCAGATTTTGCTAACTCCTTTTAAACGTCGTTATGTTTATAATATTAACACGTTTACTGTATGGGTTTTTATATATATATATATATATATATATACGTGTGTGGGTGGGTGTCAAGTCTTGGGCAGCTCCAGTCATGATATGGCAGCAGTATCTCACTGTTCATCTGATCAGACTCTTTTGAATAGAGAACATAGCAGCTGGACTCAGGTACTTTCGGAAGCGGTGTAAAGAACCGATCATATCACCAGAGTCTTTAGCGTTGGATCGTATATATGCGTTTCACTTGAGGTCTATGATGAAATTAGGCCCTAAAAGACGCTCAAAATAAAGAGCCTAATTGGGAGTGCAATCACGAATTGTGAATGACAAGAACATAGATACGGCTCCTTGATCAACAAGGGTACATATATGTCAGTGTAAGTGCATGTGTTAGTGCCAATGCAAGTGAAACCGATTTGGTCATTAAGATTCTCTTATCTGAATATATGTTTAGAGTAGGCTCGGATGAGAAAAGACATGGCTTACTAAATACTAAATAGCCACGAATATCACACAAAATATCTTACTAAAAAAAAAGGAGATTAAAGTGAAAGCGGAATAAACCAGTCACTCTATACGTTAGACCTCAGTTTGAAAGTGAAAAAAAAATTAAAATATGGCTGGTATTATGGTCTAATAAAAAAAAATAAACTAACAAAAGAACTAAAAAAAAAAGCACATTATTCTTGTCCAATTACTTCCTTTTCATACAAATCAAAATCACCTCAAAGTTTCCAGTATCGACCAAATAACTAACTTAGAACAGAAATCGATCTACTGAATATTAATCTACATATAAAATATTGTTTTTTTTTTTTTACTTTTTCTTTTCCTGCTCCAGTTTTGTAAAACTACAGCAAGATGAATAGATATT